GGACCACTCTGGGCTCCGACAGTTCGTCCACGCCGTGCGAGGGTGGGCCAGGGGTACCATCGAGACCCCGAAGTGAGGACCACTCTGGGCTCCGACAGTTCGTCCACGCCGTGCGAGGGTGGGCCAGGGGTACCATCACGACCCCGAAGTGAGGACCACTCTGGGCTCCGACAGGTTGTCCACGCCGTGCGAGGGTGGGCCAGGGGGTACCATCGAGACCCCGAAGTGAGGACCACTCTGGGCTCCGACAGGTTGTCCACGCCGTGTGAGGGTGGGCCAGGGGCACCATCAAGACCCCGAAGCGAGGACCACTCTGGGCTCCGACAGTTCGTCCACGCCGTGTGAGGGTGGGCCAGGGGCACCATCAAGACCCCGAAGCGAGGACCACTCTGGGCTCCGACAGTTCGTCCACGCCGTGCGAGGGTGGGCCAGGGGTACCACCAGGACCCCGAAGTGAGGACCACCCTGGGCCCCGGAGGGGCTTTGATCCTCGGGCCGCTCCTCAGACGTCTGCCGCGCAGCCTGCCTGCGGCCTGGGCCCGCCGTGGCCAGGAAAGACGAAGCCGAGCCTCATGATGCGTGCCTCGCGGTCGCACGACGACTGTAAGGGAGCGCGGCGGGGTGGTGGGGGAGAGCTGGAAAGGGGATCCAGCTGAAAAGGCGGTGGTGCAATGGATTTCGGGCAGCTGTACCGTAAGTGCATTGCGCCGCAGACTTGTCTTGCACTGCATTGCAAAAAGATGCATTGCACGCGGAAATCCAGCAAGCAACACATCTGCGCCCCGGAATGTATGGCCCGCCCCAGATGCATTGCAACCCCACAGATCGATTGCACCAAGGCTGTTGCACCACCCCCTTGTCACTGGACCCCCTTTTACGGGGAACAAAAGGTGGCATAACCATAAAAACTCGGAGGTCCGCGCGGATTTCTCGGATCGGCGCTGGGGCCCCCCGGCGGCACCTCCGGCGCCGCCCCTGGCGCGCTCCGCGCGCCAGGGAGGGGGGTCCAGCGCCGATCCGAGAAATCCGCGCGGACCTCCGAGTTTGTATGTTTATGCCACGGGTCAACCCGAGTGAGGGGGGGCGAGGGGTACGGTTAAGTCGGGCCTGCCCCCCTGCAGGGGGAGTTTCGACGAAAAATAAAAAATACCCCCAAAATAATCAAAAAATAATCCAAAAATGGTCTGGGGATTATTTGTTGGGTATTTACCTAACAGCTTTTGCTGATAGGTTTCTAGTGGTGTCAAAAGAGAGCATCTGGACTCCACAAGGGGGTCTGGGCGGGTGCCGGGGAGGAGGGCCGGGAACAGAGCCGGCTCGTTTTAAGCCAACAGTCACACACTTCGTGCTCTTCGACCTCCCAGAACTCCATTCCCGGGCCACATTTTGAATGCCCGGAGCCAACTGTAGGCAACTTCGTGCCCTTCGACTTCCCAGAACTCTTTTCCGGGCCACATTTTGGATGCTCGGAGCCAACTGTAGCCACTTCGTGGTCTTCGAGTTCCCAGAACTCCATTCCCGGGCCACATTTTGATGCCCGGAGCCAACTGTAGGCCACTTCGTGGTCTTCGAGTTCCCAGAACTCCATTCCTGGGCATGATTTTGAATGCCCGGAGCCAACTGTAGGCCACTTCGTGTTCTTCGAGTTCCCAGAACTCCATTCCCGGGCCACATTTTGAATGCTGAGGCAGGCTGAGGCTGAGGCAGGCTGAGGCTGAGGCAGGCTGAGGCTGAGGCCGAGGCTGAAGGCAGACTGAGCTGAGGCTGAAGCAGCTGAGGCTGAGGCTGAGGCAGGCTGAGGCTGAGGCTGAAGGCAGGCTGATGCTGAGGCAGGCTGAGGCTGAGGCTGAGGCTGATGCAGGCTGAGGCTGAGGCAGGCTGAGGCTGAGGCCGAGGCTGAAGGCAGACTGAGGCTGAGGCTGAAGCAGGCTGAGGCTGAGGCTGAGGCAGGCTGAGGCTGAGGCTGAGGCTGAGGCTGAGGCTGAGGCAGGCTGAGGCTGAGGCAGGCTGAGGCTGAGGCTGTGACTGCACTGTTGCCGTTGCCACTGCGACTGTCATCGCGAATGCGACTACGACTGCGAGAACAACAGAATTCTACAACTGGATTCTCATCTGAATCTGAAGGGGAATGCTTCCAGATATGCTCCTACACATCGCTGTTAGGTTGCTTTGCCGGGATAATGTTTTTACCTTTTTGGAGTATTTTGGGGGTATGTTTAATTTTTCGTCGAAAATCCCCCTGTAGGGGGACACGCCCGACATGGGGGTACGGGGCGCGGCGGGGTGGCGGGGGCCGCGCGTCCTGGCGGCCTCCAGCCCGGTGCACGGCCCCGCCGGCGTGCGCGCCCTTCGCGCCCCCGCGGGCCCCGCGGGCGCCACCGCCCGGGGCGCCTGCGGCCACGGTTGGGTCGGGCATGCCCCCCTACAGGAGGATCTTCGAGGAGAAGTTCGAAATATTCCCAGAGTATTCACAAAGAATCGAAAGTGGTCGAAGATCGTCACCGGCGTACTTTTTTGGCTACTTTTGAATATTCCACCTGCAGAGGGACACGCCCGACTTCAGGCCACGGGTGCGGAAAGCCCACCCAGCGTCCTGTCAGGGCCGCAGCACCGCCTGCCTTGCTCCCGGGGAGGAGAGGGAGGAGGACGAAGAGCAAATGGCAGACATGGAAAAATCGTTTGAACGCGAATGTCTTGATCGCTGAAGTCTCGTATGCGAGCTGTGCCCATCCCCGCTGTACCAGCGCCGTGAACGTAGGTGGGTTGGCAGATGATTCCTTCCAATCTCCTTCTGCCCCTTCGGGGATGGATTTGCCCTCCCCCTTATCTCCCATCCGCGCCAGAAGGCAAAGCGTAGGGGATCGCAGGTTGCTAGGGTCTCCACCCCTCCCTTCCCCCACCCTCTGCCCCATCATTCCAAGCCACCCCTGCCTCCAAGGCTTCCAGAGAGCCCCAAGGGGGGCCTGAGGGCATGCGGAGGGCAGAAGCAGGGATGGGAGGAGGGAGGCGGTGGAGGAGGAAGATGAGTGACGCGGGTCGCTGCGGACACAAAACGACGACCCAACACCACAGGATGGCATACCTGATTGGGAAATAGATCCTCGTGGCAAACAGCAAGCAATGCCCTCGAGCCGCTCTGCCCGCGATAGCTCTCACGCCGCAGCGGTCGGCGAGACCAGCCGAAACCGCCCAGCCCGAAACGCTTGCGTTAGGTCGGGCGTGTCCCCCTACAGGCGGATTTTCGACAAAAAATAAACATATCCAAGAAATTATACAAAATTGTTGGAACAAAAAGAAAAAGAGGGGAAACAAAATGAAACAACAAAAAAAAACATGTTGTAACCAATTTGGAGTACTCCTCCTGTAGAGGGACAAGAGCCCGACGTAACGCCTGCGACGCCCCGCGCCGCGCAGGCTGAGCGGTGCTCGCCGCGCTCCGCCGCTGGCCGCCGCAAGGAGCGCGCGCGGCGCCTGGGCCGTGTGGAGGCCCCGCGCCCCGGGCGCCCGTGGCGGCTGCTGCTGCTGCGGCGGGCTCGGCGGGCCGCTGCTGGGGCGGAGGCCTCCCGGCGCGGAGGCGGCGTGCTGGAGGCGCTGGCCCTCCGCGCCACAGCCGTCCTCGGGGGGGGGAGGAGGAGGAGGAGGAGGAGGAGGAGGAGGAGGAGGATGAGAGGAGAGGAGTGGATAGGGAGGAGGAAGAGGAGGAGGAGGAGGGAGGAGGAAGGGAGGAGGAAGAGAGGAGGAAGGGGAGGAAGGAGGAGGAGAGGGAGGAGGGAGAGGCGGGGGGAGGAGGAGGAGAAGGGGGAGGGGGAGGAGGAGGAGCAGGAGGAGGAGGAGGAAGAGGAAGAGGAGGAGGAGGAGGAGGAGGAGGAGGAGGAGGAGGAGGCGGGTCCACGCGCACCAACTCTCCGAGCTGCGCCCCGCAGTGGGGGCGAGGGCCCCCCCGGTTCGCCCGGGGCTCCCCAGCCCCGTGCGAGGACAAATCGAGAACCTCTGAAACCTGGCGGCGCTGGAAGACGTCGCGGGCGCCGCGGCCTTCCCAGAGTGCTCCAGAACGCTCCGAGAGCGTTCTGGAACGCTCTGGAATGGGTTTGTCCTTGTCCTGGCCCCGTGCGACGCGCGCCCCCCAGCTCTGGAGAGATGCGGGTGGCCCAAGCTGGATCTCCCGCTGTGCTGCACAGAGCCATGGGAAGAGACAGACTCAAGTCACGCACGCTGACACTGTAAGGTCGAGCACCCTGCGTCGGATACACGAAAGAGTGGCCCTAGCAGCGGTGACATTTGGTACGCAGGTTGCCGCTCGTTACATGCGGTGCGGCAGTAGCGGCCCGCGTAATGATTGGGCCTGGCCCCCCCGCCCCCCGCGTAAGTGGGCCTAGCCCCCCGCCTTCCCCCCCCCCACGCGTTTCCCCTCGAAGGCCGCGCACCAAAGGTCACTCCGGCGAAGTGTTGCCTCCTCCTCCTCCTCTTCCTCCTCCTCCTCCTCCTCCTCCTCCTCCTCCTCCTGCTCCTCCGCCTCCTGCTCCTCCTGCTCCTCCTGCTCCTCCTCCTCCTCCTCCTGCTCCTCCTGCTCCTCCTCCTCCTCCTCCTCCTCCTCCTCCTCCTCCTCCTCGCTCACTCGCCCACTCACTCACTCACTCACTCACCCACCCACCCACTCACTCACTCACTCACTCACTCACTCACCCCATGGCGCACACCAAGGTGTCCAGCACCTCCACGTGGCCGCGCCGCCGCGCCGCGCGGCGCCGCGCCCGCTTACCGCAACAGAGCGGGCGGCCAGGGACCTCGCGAGAGGAGGAAGAGGCTCCGAGGCCCCGAGGAGGGGGACAGCGGGGACCCCAAGCCCCAGCCACCCACGGGCATGCCCAAGAGGGGCCGAGGCTGGGCCCGACGCCAGAGAGGAGGGAGACGCCAGCGAGGGCGTGAAGAAGAGAGGCGGGGGCCCGCGAGCCCACGAGGGGGATGAGGGGGGAGGGGCCTCGAGGGCCAGGAAAGGGGGGGAAGGCCCACGGCGTTGCACTGCGCTCCTGGTCGCGGCCGCGCCGCAACACCACCCATATAGCCAGCTGCCGCATGCTGCCAGCAGCCAGCCGATTGGGTGGTTGGGTGGTGGTGAGACGCAGGCGGCGACACATCGTCACCCGCTGTGGGATGAGCAGTCGCCGACCCCCAGCCCCCAAGAAGGAAAAGGGGGGTTCGAGGGGCTTCAGGGGCCAAAAGGAGGGGGGCTGAGGGTTCGGACGGGGGCCGATGGGCCGCAGCCCTGGTGGGGCCGTGCGGCACGGCGGCACGCTCAGCCACCCTCACGCGCGGCTGCCGCGGCGCCTTGGGCAGCGCGAGGTGCGCCGCGGCGCCCAGCGCCCGAGCCCGTGCCAACGCCCACGCGGAGGCTGCGCGCGCCCACAGCACCACGTAGGAGCTCGCTCAGATCCCGCTCCGTGGTCGTCTGGTGCTGCAGGTCTATGCCGCCGGCGCAGACCATCCTCCTGCTCTCCGTCCGCGATGCCCGCAACGCTGGGCACTCGCCCAACGTGCTCGGACGTGGGAAGATAGCGCGGCGCGGTGGCAGGATCAGAGCGCGCCGGATCTTCACCTTGGCAGCCGTCTCCGTGATGTCGATGGCCAAACGTAGCTCGGCGTTGTCCATGGCGGCTGTTTACACCTTGGTTTGCGAGAGGGCACTTGGCTCCCCAAGGTGCCGTCGGCTCTCGCATGGCGTTCTCGGCGCCTAGGTCTGCCGTCCATGTCGAGCTCCTCGGGATGATTACGATGGCGCTGCACTGGTTCGCGGTGCGGCACCGTCGGGCCCTCGCCTGGAGCCCGCCGCGCAGGCCCAGCTCCTCGTCGCGGGCGGCGGCCCCCATCAATGCGTAGTTGCCGTCAGCGTTGTCCCGAAGGTTCTTCTTCAGCGCCTGGTCCTTCTCGCTGTCGCCGCCGATCAACCCAGCGATGCCCCCCCCGTCCGTCGCGCCCCCGCTCGTAGCGGCGGGGCGCAGAGGGGTGCTGCTTTCGCGCGCTTGTCGCATGGTGATGGTCGGAAGGTGTATGCGCCGTGGTTCTTCGGCAGGTCGTCGGAGCAGAGGCGGTCGGCCTTCGACGCCGTCGGTCTGCGCGCACCTCTTGGCGGGCGGCAATGCCCTGTCTTCTCTCCATCTTCTGCTCTCTAGCTTCTCGATGGTCTTCGCATCCTCATCCATGAGCCTCTGAGCGTCGGCGCGGCCCATCGGGTCGCGGTTCGTAATGCACGCCTGGAGGCACCCAGTAGCGCGATGGCGCAAGTGGCGGACGAGTCGCGCCCGATCGTGGAAGTCCATGTCGCGGCATTCGCATCGAGATCCGACGGCGTAGAATGGCGCGTCTCCTGCGGGGAGGTGCTTCTTGGCGCGGCGCCTCTTGAGGGGCGCCTCCGTCGAGGAGGCGGCGCCGCAGTCGTAGCGAGCATAATGCGTCGCTTTCGCGACGCTGATCTTGCCGGTGGTCGGACGGGTCGCCCGCGCTGCCTTCGCAGGGCCCGCCCGCCCGCGATCGCTTCCACAGATGGCGCCTGCAGTCCTCGATCTACGACCCTTTTGCGCGCCTCCCAAGCTCTCCTGATTAGCTTGGGCATCTTCTTGTCCCCCGACTTGCAGTGCTCGACCCAACCCTCGACGTCGCCCCTCGACGGCAATTCCCTCTCGCACGCGCGGTCCAGCAGCCAGCCGAAGTCGCACTTCAGCTGCACGTGCCAAGGGCCGTCGGTTCGGAAGGCGACGTCGAGCAGGTCGAGGAGCGTCTCGGGGACATTGCGCACGATGTCGTTGAAGTACCGTAGCCTGCGTGCCGCGGTAGCGGCGTCGAGCCCCGCTCGGCCCGCGGCGACGTAGACCTCCTGATCGGCGACGCCCTGCGCGACTCGATTTCAGCAGCGTGGTCCCGCTGCTGCTCGGTATCCTTTGACGCGTGCTGCTTTCAACTTCTTCTGGTCGGCCGCCGTCATGCCGCGCCAGAGCTCGGCTTGGCATGTGAGCCGCGCGTTGGTCATCGCATCGACGAAATTGGCGCCCGTCTTGGCAGGGAGGACGTCGTCTTTGAAGACGGTCCGCAGCATGGGCTCGAATGCGTTCTCGTGGGCGGTGACCAGTCGTTGTACTTCGGGCCCCCTATGAGCCCTCGGCGGAGATGGCGGTGCCAACGCGCTGATACTCGCTTACGACTTCGATCTCTAAGCCCCATTCGACGGTGGTCAGCTTGGTTGGCTTCTCGTAGAGGTGGAGCTTCGTCTGTTTGGACTTGAGGCCGTTGACGCATGTGAGACCGCTGTCTGGTTCTTCCCGAGGTTGAGCTCCATCGCGCGCGCGCGGAAACTCTCGCGCACCATGTGCGCCATGTGCTTGGCGCGGGCCAGGGTGTCGGTCAGCCCGTTCGAGAGGATGGCGAAGGCAGCGTCGTCCGCGAACTAACGTCATTCACCAGTCTCGGTTCTCCTAGCAGGTTGCACGGAGATTCGGCTCCTCGAGGTTCTGGCATGTACTCAACGACCGAGATGGTGAGATCTTCGTGCAGCATCCTCTGATTTATTGTGATAACCGGTCGCGCGAAAGCCATGTTGAATAGCATGTCGGCCTGCGGGGCCCAGGGCGAGTTCCGCGTCGTGAGACCCCCGCGTCCTCCTGCCCCGCCATGTTGAGCCACGTGAGTCGCTGTGCCTCCATAGCGACGGTCTGTGGGTGAGGGTCGGCGATGCGCTTCTGCAGCAGGTCAGGCTCTGCGATGATGCCGCTCAGGATCGGGCGGAGGGCGCCGGGGAAGTCAGCTTCGCAGCATGCATCGTCGCCGCCATGCTCGAGCCGGGGGATCTGGATCAGCATTTGTCGCACGACGCGGCAGAAAGCGGCCCTCAGGTCGAAGCAGAGTCGCGTGAGTCCGCTTGACGCGCTTAGCGAGATGCTGCAGGCATCGTATCTGGTGGGTCGCAAGCGTGGCGCTTCTCCCTGCACGGCCACCGACCTGGGCATCGAGGTCGATGGTCGTCGCCACGTCTTTGAGCTTGCTACGCTAGAACTTGTAGTGGTGCTTGGCGATGTCGTTGCATAGCGCGATGGACATGCACGCTTATTGTCGGGATGTGTCGCCCTTGCCCTTGCCGATCTCGGCATCTGCAAGCTGATCTTGGTCAGCAGCGGGCGGATCTCTTTCGCGTGACGATGTGGTGCGATGGCAAGCACCTCGTTCGCGATGCCGTCGCCCCGTGGTGCACGACCGCATTTGAATCGCCGCAGGCTCAGCTCTGTGCCCAGTAATGTATGCACGTCCTCTGCGTTGGTGCGCACGTCTTCCAGCACGCTCGTGTTGAACTGGTTGTACCGTCTGGCCACGGAGATGCGGCCCCCCATCACGGCGTCCTCAATCTAGGCGTAGTGTCTGATCTGGGCTGCCGCTAGATTCTTCTCGTCGTCGATCACGTTGTGGTTCTCGTCAAGACGGCATGGCACGACGTTGCCGCCCTTGAATCTGCCTTGCTGGCAGCCCCCGAACTCCGATATCTTCTTTAGCCATCTCCATTCGTTCAGGCCGTCTCCGTTCTGCAGGGCTTCGCTGAGCTGGGAAGCGCACCGATCGCAGTGCCGTCTCGTCGC